CTTGCATATAGTGATAATTTTGGCCAATTCAGTGTATTGACTTTTATTAATAAGTTAAGTATTTCTACATCTAATATTTGCCATGGGTCTTCAATTAAACTAACACAGAATATCCAGGGGGCAAAGGGGGACCTTTTCAGTTATGTTAAAGAAGAAAAACCCAGAAACCATCACTGCCTTCATCATCTGGATAGGGAACTTCCCAGACTGGAATTCCAGAATGACAGAGATGTTGCTGAATCTATTGTACCTGAAATAGCTGGGTCATGGAGGAGAGCTATTGAAGTTACATTCCAAGCTCTAATCTGAGCAGCTATGACCCTTGTAGGAGTGAGGAAAACTCCACCCAGCTGACTACCCAGTACTCAGCTGGAATATCCTTTCATCAAAGGTTACTCCTGAAACAGGCAGGAAGGTGCTGTTTGCATAGATCAAGGCAAATTGGTAGCTGTCTTTTGTGTCCAGTTATCTTTAGTTGTTTTTGGTCATTTCTGGTCTTTGTACTGTGAGAGCTTGGTTTGTATGCAGCAGTAAGTCAAACTGGGCAGAGGAGGATGCATTTTGTCACAACTTCTCTCTCTTTATGGATAGAATTTCTATGCGCTGTCACTGAGTAGAGGAAGGAGGCTTTGGTGGTTTCATCTCGGCTTTTTGGAGATCATGCAGTTAGCTTCATCAATTCATGACCTTCAGCTTGTACTGGGATGTTTTGCAGCTAAGTGTGTGGTTTTTGTGCAGATGAGAATAAGCTCCTCCAAGTCCAAGATAATAGTTCTCAACCGGAAAAGGGTGGAGTGCCCAGTCCAGGTAAAGGATGAGTTGCTGCCCAAAGTGGAAGAGTTTAAATATCTTCTTGTTCATGAATAAGGAGAGAGTCGAACAGGAGATTGACAGAATGCTGCTGTTTGCAGTAATGTGAACACTGTAATGGTCTGCTGTGTTGACTGAAGAGCTGAAACTGAAGCTGTCGATTTATATGTCAATCTACATTCTGACTTTTAGTGATGGACACAATTTCTGGCCAGTGGCCGAGAACGTAAGACTACTGATACAAGCAGTAAATGAGCTTCCTCTGGGTTATCGCTCAGCCATAAGGTGAGGAGCCAGAGTGAGGTGGTTTGGGTATGTGACCGGGATGCCTCCTGAGAGCTTGTCTTGTGTCTTGTCCTGGGAAGAGGTGGTGAAAAAGCCCCAGAGCAGAACAACACAACATGCTAGGAAGATCTGTGTGTGTGTGTCCCTCTCTAGCTATCTTTGTGAGGACCGAAATCTGCATTCTACTATACTTGTGAGAACCAACAGTCACGTGAGGACACACACACCGGTCCTCACAAGTTTGAAGGCCTTTTTGAGGCTCAAAATGTGGTTTTAGTGTCAGGGTTACAATTAGGTTATGGTTAGGTTTAGGGTTAGGCATTAATTTTTAATGGTTAGGGTTAGGGTAAGGGGCTAGGGAAACCATTATGTCAATGAAAGTCCTCACTAAGATAGCTGAACGGGGTTGTGTGTGTGTGTTTATTTCAATTATTTTTTACCAGTATAAAAACGACCCCGACTAGTTTCATCATATAAATACAAACACAGAAAAAAGTTTACTTGAAATCACTGAGAACTGAGTGATGCCAGAATCAAAGAATGTTAAATAAGTTGGCCAGCTGTCCATGAATATAAAATACGTTGTTACCACTTCAGTCATTCCAATTACTCTTTGCCCATGCTATATCATTTTCTTAACATCTGAAGAAAAGACACAGCACAGCATTTTATAACAGTTCTATTAAAGATGCATACAGAGGCTGCAGTTTTTGCGGGAGAATTTAAAACAAGGAAAAAAAATAATATTGGCAGATTATCTTTCACTATATGTAAAAAAAGTGTATTTTGTTTGGGCTGACACTGGGAAGATGGAAATGTTTCACTTCAAACATCAACGTGCTTTGTTTTCTGTCA